TGCAGCCCAGAGACAGCTGATGGGCACCAGGGCTCGGCACAGGGGTGCCCCTTCCCACCTCCAGCCCCCACTGAGAGCAGAAATCCCCAACACCAGCACAAAGCAACATGGAGGTGCCCTCCTGCCTCATCAGGGGCACAAAGGGGCCACTGTCCCTCCCCAAAATGGGGCACGTATGCCCAGCAAGGCAGCAGGGCTGGCCCCAGCTCACCTGTGCACCCAGCTGCTTCTCAAGGCAGCGTTCACCATCATCACTCCTGGCCCAGACATAGGACACATAGTCTTTAGGATGTCGAAAGCCTACCGGTGTGCATGGACATGGGAAAACACAGGGGAGTGGGGAACATCAGCCCAGCTCAGCACCATCACCCACACCCAGTCTTAGCTCTCCTCTTGCTCAGCCCCCTCTCCTTGCACAGGGGCACCAAGAGCTGCCTTGTACCCCCACGCCAGCCCCTCAGGAGTGCCAGGCTTTGGACCCTGTGAGGCCCACAGAGCAGGAGGAAGAGGGAACTGCTGGATCTGAGCCACAGGAAGCAGGGCCAAATCTCTCTGCTAACTGCCACAGCCTCCCAGGGGAAGAGAAAGCACAAGGGTCATGCATGCACCTGTGTCCGCTGTTGGGGGGTAGTTGAGAAGGGACCCCATAGTGCTGTGCACTGCTCCCCACCAGGCAGCCAGCAAGCCCCTACCCGGTAGAGTCCTATCCAGTCCCAGGAGCTCCGGTGGAAGCCAGCAGCCATCTTGTACCTGACAATGGCTTGCTCAGGTCTGCTCCATTCATCAGCCACATAAATCTCAACCTGGGCCTTCTCTGTCCTGGAAGCAAACTGTCAGAGACACATACATGGTGAGCAAGGGCATGCAAAAGAGAGCTGCCCCTGCTGCCCAGGGCACCCATCCAGGGCTGGGCCCTCACACAGACACCAAAAGCAGCCCCCAGCCATGGTGGCAAGACAGCTGAGCTTGCCAAACAAAAATAAAATAAGCCCCACACACCCCATCATACACTGCACACACTAGCTGGGCATCTCACCCCTGTAGCTCCTGCCTGTGTGCCCAGTGGCCCTGGAGGGTGCTCACCTGCACTGCAAAGATGGCAGCTACAGGCTTGTGGTCGCTGACCATGTACTCCATGTGGCTGCAGTAGCAGAGCTGGCTCACCGACAGGATGCCCCGGCTAGGCTGGCGCCCGCCTGCACCAAGCCCAACACTGGGAGATTTGATCTTCCAGAGGATACGGTCAGTCCAGGCAGGTTTTCGCTTCTTGGCACTGCAGGGCACAGAGGGGCATCTCTTGCCTGGCAGGGGGCAGTGGGCTCCACCCCAAACTGCCTCCCCTGCCAATACGGCACACACGGGCAGGGGATGCAGCTCGTCTCGGCACACAGCTTGGTGCAGCTGCAGGGACAGACCTGCACTGGCACCAGCACAACAGATGTGTCCCAGCCTGCAGTGCCCAGTCCAGCCCATGCCTACCCCAGCATGTCTCCCCCTGTCCATCCACACCAGCATCAGCCCCTGCCCTGCCGGCACCAGTACCCATCCTGGCACTGAGCCCCGCCAGTCCTGCATCCCTCAGCCATGCCACCTGCTCCAGACCCAGCACATGCTTAAGCTCTCCTCTCCTACCTGCTGTCATACTTGTTGGTGCCCACATCAAACTTGAAGGTGGGTGGGAAGTTCAGGGGTCCCTCCTGAAAGCCACTGAGGACAGGCCAGGTGCTCTTGGCAATGTTCAGCTGTGGGAAAGAGAGCAGGTCGGGAAGCACACTGGCCCCCATGGCCAGACCCCTCTGCAAGCCCCCGAGACCTCTCCACCCCAGCACAGTCATCCCTGCCAGCCCCACACAGCTCTCAGGGTTTGTCCGTGACATGCAAGCAGCAAGTCTATAGACCCAATGCCCGTCACTTTTCCTAGCACACTGATAAAAGAAGCATGTGCCCAGCTCCCATAAAGACCATCTGAGACTGTGCTGCCACTTTCTCACAGAGCCAGGGCCCTTTGTGCCCCATGGGCAGCAAGGGGATGTGCCCTGTGCCACAGCTGCATGGGCAAGAGTCAAATGCCACTGGGGGCCCAGCAGCATGCCTCTCCCTCTCACCTGGTCCTTCTCCCAGAGCTGGCTCAGGATGTTGCTGTCGATGGCGTACTTCACAAAGCGAATGTCAAGGCTCTCGATGCGGAAGTTGAGGTCCCCAAACCAGAACACAAGGCTGTGAGTGGGAGGGAGGGTGACAGGCTGGAAGGGCGAAGACTACTGGAGCTGGGCAGCAGAGCAGGGGGAAAGCATCCTCAGCCTGTGGGCAGCCTCAGCCTGCAGCACAGGCACTCTTGGGAGCTCCAGTGCAGGTCAGCACCCAGCCGACAGCTCGGCCAGCTGCCAGCACTGCCAGGATCCCTCAGGTGGGATCAAGCACCATTAACCAAACAGACCTGACTTCCCTGGGCAGAAATTGAGGCTGGAAATTTCCACCGTGAGGTACCTACCAGAGTCAGACCACAGAGCCAGGACACTGTGCCCTCCACCTCACCAGTCCCAAACCTCAACAGTGCCAGTATGGCAGGAGCTGCACCAGGCCTGGATGTGTCCCAGGGGAGACAAAGGACCCCTCTTACACACCAAGACCACTGTGCTGTGTCCCCACAGGACAATTTTGCAGCCCTGCAGGCAAGACCTCATCTCCAAGTTGTGCTGGGATTCAGGGGACAAATCCCAGATTCTATCTGGAGGTGGTCAAGGACAGGGGCTGGCACTAGAGCCCTTACCCAGATTGGAGATCAAAGTGGTGAGGTACGCACTCATGGTCCAGGATGCCGCTGGCTGCATGCCCCTCAAACTGCTGCATGTGCAGTATGGTGGCAAAGTCCTCCTTGCGCTGCTCCGCCTTCTCCAAGTGTGCTGGCAGGTGGCAGTTCAGGAAGCAGACCATGTGGCCGAAGATGGAGAGACGAACACTCACCCCACCCTTGTTGCCCTGCACCGAGAGGATGCTGTGACTCCTCGGGAAGCCAGCCCGTCGCCACCTCCCCCAGGGCCACACTCACCCAGTAGCCTCCCAGCCCCGTCCTTGTGCAGTCTGTCTGGATGTCCTGCAGGAAGGGGAGGTGGTAGTACTTGGCAAATACCAG